CACACACACACACACACACACACACACACACACACACACACACACACTTTAAACTAAACAGGACAAGGTGGATAGCCCCTGTGGCTGACCTCTGACCTCCACAGGTGCACACACAAACATAAATAAAGACAGAAGGGCAGGGTAGGCAAGCTCTGCTGGTCCCTCAGATAGTTTTCATCAGCTTACAGCACCAAATAGAGCACTCATACACCCGGCTACAGGACTCTCAAGGACAAGGAAGATGGAGAAGGCCGCCAAGGGTCCAGGCGAGACCCTGCCCCAAGGGAGGGGCGGTGGCTTTGCATCATTTTCTTACTCAATGCTGTTTCTGTTTCTTGTACCTGTTCACGGGGCAGCTGGCCGCAGGACAGGTTTTCTCTCTCCACCCTGGTCTCTGAACTCACAACCTCCCACTCCTGTACTCTGGGACAGGGATGGTGGCGAGGGCCAAGGGCCCAGCAGGCACGGGAGGGTCTTAAACAGATTTTTCCTGGGGGTTTTGTTGTTGTTCATTAATTTTGATTAATTTTTATTAACATCTGTGCATGTGTGTGTGCACACACATGTTCATACACGTGGAGATCAGAAGACAACTTTGGGGAGCTGGTTCTTTCCACCATTTGAGTCCTGAGGAGAAACCTCAGGTAGTCAGGCTTAGCAGTACTTTTACCCACTGAGCCATCTTGCTGGCCACTAAATGTGTCTGATAATAGGGAAATTACAGGCCTCAACAACAGGAAGTCTGAAATATCCTATGAGAAACTAGGGTGGGGCAGACATCACAGTGCCTGTCATCTGGCTTTGACACTTGGACACCTCACTGCCACCCTCTCCATCCTGGAGTCCACAGGCTTGGTGACTGAGCTGCAAGGACCTGGGTGACAGACATACTTGCGTTGGCGTTGGGGACAGGCACAGGCTGGGTGTAGTACGAAGGTGGACTCATGCCCTTCCCATCTGGGCCTGTAATGAGGCCTGTGGCTGGTCCTGGCACAGGTGCTGGGGGGGTTGGGTAGTAACTGTTGACACCCACTGTTTCTTCATAGGTTGGGGGTGCAGTGGGCATTACAGAAGGGCCTGCAGCTGCTTGGTAAGGTCCTGGAGCCGACATTTTACCTAAAACAAAAATAGAAGACACCATAAGAAATTCTCTTGACCCAGAGAGTTGGGTGATGGCACATGCCTGAGACGGAGGCACTGGGGAGGCGGATCAAGACCATCCTCAGCTATACAACAAGTGCTGGAGACCAGCCCAGACTTCCTAAAACTGTCATAAACACCAAAGGGAATTGGGAGAAAGAAGGCATCCGCTTTCCCTGCCCCATCCCCCATGGCCCAAGTTTTCAACCTCCAATCTGACAAACAGGATAACCAAGGAAATTATCACCTTCAAAGGGGACTTTCAAGTACAGATAAAAAGTAAGCAAATGTGCCCCAAATGACCGGAACCTAGAGACCCAGGGGGAGGTGGGAGCGGCAGTGGAGGAGCCTCCTCTTCAGCCCACACACCCAGAACCCAGCAGTTCTTGTTTAATCAATGTGGTTTTCACTAATCGGAAACGACAGTAGCATTTACTTGCCAACTATGGGCAGGGTGTGAGCAAAACCCAACATCCAATACCAGGAGAGAGAACTCTAGAAGGAACAGGAAAGGGTATTTTCAGAGACTGACCATTCTCTTTCATCACATAGGGCTGGTTACATGGGTTCTTTTCAATTTGTATTTACAGACTGAATATAAAAATTGAATACTAAAAATGCGAAATTTCAATTTGTACAACTGATACTTGACCACTTGTGCTTTTGTTTTGTTTTTTACAAAGTAACTGTTCAGGGCTCAGTGCCCCACATTATAATCTCAGCCCTGGAGTGAAGAGTTCAAGGACAGCCTGACCTACACAACAAGGTGCTCAAGGAATCTGACTCTTATTTTACTTTTAAAATCTTTATTTCTAAGTGTGTGTGTGTGTGTGTGTGTGTGTGTGTGAGAGAGAGAGAGAGAGAGAGAGAGAGAGAGAGAGAGAGAGAGAGAGAGA